CTCTCCCCCTCCAGTGTCTATTTTATAATATAATGCAAGGAAAACCAAGATTCAAATGACAGCCAAGCATCTTAATATTATTCCCCCCTTTTCCACATTCCAACCAAGGCTCGATCTCTGTATCCCAAACCCTTTTGTTCTCAGGTTATACATATGTCATTATTTACCTCTGTCTCACTTAGCCCATTGAGACCTAATTGTTCTCCCAACTACGTGATAGAGTTTTGCAAGACCAATGACTTCTTCATTGTAACTACCTTTTTAAACAACATAAATGACTATACACATAGACCTTACCAGATGGAATATATGGATATCAAATTGGCTACATCTGTGGGAAGAGATGGTGGAAATGCTCAATATCATCAGCCAAAACTAGGCTAGTGACAGACTGCTCATATGCAAGTTCAGGCTGAAGCTGAAGAAAATTAAAACAGATACATCAGAGCCAAAATATCTCAGGAACAGATTTGATGCATTAGACACTAATGATTAAAGACCATAAGTGTTATGGGTTGATAACATGAACATCACAGAGGAAGAAAGCAAAAGGTCATTAAGACAAGAAAGAAAAGACCAAAATAGGGTTCAGAAGAGTCTCTGAAACTCCAGTGCAGAGATGCTAAAGTGAATCAAAGAAATGAGGAGGGTAAAACAACTGAACAGAAAATTTCCAAGGCAGCTTGAAAAGACAAAGTCAAGTGTTAAAATGAAATGTTCAAAGAAAACCAAAAGGGAAAAAAGTGCTCATCATTTCTTAAGGTGAAAGTGCTGAAGAAAATATTCAAACCTCAACATACAATATTGAAGGATTCTATGGGCAAATACTGAAAGATGCAGAAAGCATCATTGGTATACGTAGAGTCATTGTACCAAAAAGAAATGGTCGTTGTTCAACCATTTCAGGTGTTAGTAGTAATACTGAAGGAAGAAGTCCAAGGTGCACTGATGGTATTAGCAAAGAACAAGGTTTAGGGAATCGATGGACTACAAATTGAAATATCATTTCCATATATTGATGCAGCAGTGGATGCCCTCACTCATCTATGCCAAGAAATTTGGAAGATAACTACCTGGCCAAATGATTGGAAGAGATCCACATTTGTGCCCATTCCAAAGAGAGGTTACCTGTCACAATGTGGAAATCATCAAACACTATCACTAATATCACTTTCAAGTAAAATTTCTCTGAAGATAATTTAAAAATGGACATAACAGAACAGAAACTCTAGCTGGATTCAGAAGAGGACCTGTAACAAGGTATATCATTGTTAATGTCAGATGGATATTGGCTGAAAGCAGAGAATACCAGAAAGATGTTTATTTGTGCTTTATTGACTACAAAAAGGCTTTTTAAGTTGTCAATTTTTTTTTTTTTTTAATGTGTTCATCGTGAATTGAATGATGGTTTGCATGGAAGAACATCAGTTTTGCATTCAACCAGTCGTATTTTGTTTCAATGCAATGATTACAATCCCCTCCATGTACCACCATTGGTTAACAGTATTTTCTTCTATTCCCCTTTTTGTCTTTTTTTTAATGATATACACAAAACACGCAGGGGTATATAACTATTTAAATAACCAAAGAGCACATTTTGCAAGCCAGCCTCCTGCCTACCAGCACACAGCCTTTCTCTTACCATGAGTCTACAGTCCTCATCTCCTCTATCTCTCCATGCCATCACCTCTGCCTCCATCTCTGGTGTCCCTGTTTCTCTGGTTAGGGTCCCATGTTACACCCATGCTCTTCCTTCTATATTGTCCTAGGGTCCTCTGTTCCTGGAATGTAAGATTAACTACTTCCCATTTTGTTGCACAACTTCTACCTTTACAGTTGTGACAAATCCAATTAGTAATAACAATTACTCACTATTGAATCAAAAGAATCCTATCCCCATCTCCTTACACCAGAGCTGTCTAGACAAGATGAAAACTATTCGGTTAGGATTCTACCTTCTCCTACACACTCTGAAACTAAATTCCCTCTTGAAAACTTGTAAGCCAGCCACTTCATGTCTTTATAGCCCTCCCATTTTAGGTAGCCAGTGTCTAAGTTGCCCATCCCTCTCAACTCTTATGTACTGAGGGGATAGTCTTGGTTCTTGCTGTGAAGACTCCTTTCCTCATGGTTGGTGTTTTGAGCTACTACATCCATAAATATAGGTCAAGTTCATCAAATTATAGCAATTTACACGTGCTTCCTCTATCAAACTTCTTTATCTTCTTCTAGTTGAGTTCTGATTATCAAGCCATCCAAACGAGGTCAGATGGACCTATCTGCAAGTTTGGGCCTTCTTACATGTCTCCTCCTCATATCAGCTGGATATTTTGCTCTTAGCTGTATGTAGCCCACTGTGGCTAGGTCAGTGTCCATGGCTTCAGGAGTTCCCAAGTTTCCCCAAACTTCAGATCAACCAGCCTTTCTTCTTCTCTCTCTCATCTCAAGGTAGACAGGAGTCTATAGAACATGGTCAGACTCAGCCCAGGTCTTCATTACTGTCTTTCCCCTACTTCCATTCACAAGTAGGCCTATACAGTCACCAGTGAGCGTACATGCCTGTTTGTGTGTGTTCACTTTGAGTTTCAGTCTTGGAAGGGGGGTTGTCATGAAGGAACTTGATAGCTTGCCTTGGTGGCTCCCCGGCGAACAGCTTCTTATTCTTGTAATAAGCCTAAAAAAGTCTGTGCAAAGGATTTGACTGGATCATGGAAAGCTATGGCTAAGACTGTGAAGAATGGGTATTCTAGAAGAACACTTAATTGTGTTCACGATAACCTGTATGCACACTAAGAGGCAGTTGTTAGAACAGAACAAGGAAACACTGAATGGTTTAAAATCAGGAAGTTGCGCACCAGGGTTGTATTCTTTCACCATATTTATTCAGCCTGTATGCTGAGCAAATAATCTGAGAAGCTGGATTATATGAAGAAGAATAATGGCATCGTGATTGGAGGAAGATGCATTAACAACCTGCAATATGTAGATGATACAACCTTGCTTGCTGAAAGTGAAAAGGACGTAACGTACTTACTGATGAAGATCAAAAGATCATACCCTTCTTATGGGTTGCCCCTCAATGAAAAAAAAAAAAAAAAAAATCAAACATAATTCCTCAGCACTGGACCAATAAATAACATGATAAATGCTGCAAAAACTGAGGTTGTCAAAGACTTCATTTTGCTTAGACCCACTATCAGTGCTCATGGAAACTGCAGCTGGGAAATTAAATGACATATTGCATTAGGCAAATCTGCTGCATATGACCTCTTCATAGTGTTTTAAGGGCAAAGATATCAGTTTGAGGACTTATGTGTGCCTTTCCCAAGCTTTGATATTTTCAATAGCTTCATGTGCATGTGAAGGTTGGACAGTGAATAATGAAGACTGTAGAAAAATTCATGCATTTCAATTATGGTGTTGGAGAAGAATATTAAAATTACCTTAGACTATGTTGGAAGGAGTACAGCCAGAAACCTCCATAGAATCCAGGATGGTAAGACATCATCGCTTATACTTCTGACATGTTATCAGAGGGACCAGTTCTGGAACAGGACAGAATGATTGGTAAAGTTGAGGGTCAGCAAAAAAGAGGAAGACCCTCAATATGATGGATTGACACAGTGGCAGCAACAGTGGGTTTAAGCTTAATGAATGTGAGGATGGCTCAGGACCTGGCAGTGTCATTCTGTTGTATATAGTGTCGCTGTGAGTCAGAACTGACTTGACAACACCTAACAACAACAACAATCAAACTTCTAATAAAACACAAGTGAACATCTTTACAAATCACTGAAGGTTTGAAACAAGTTTATAGGAAATAAAACACCATAAAACAGTTTTTATTTAGATAGATCAAGTGTTTTAAGAAATGTCGAAAAACCTCAAAGATGAGCCAAGAGAGGAAGACCTTGATGAATGAAGAAAATGTGGCTGAGATCCAGAGACCAGTGGAAGAAGATGATAGAATTATTGTTGATGCAATAGCTATTGAAGTTCGCATTTTGCATGGTTTGGCATTTTAAATTTTAAGTGAGCATTAAGGCCTCAGTAAAAGTTCAACTCCATGGGTGCCAAAAGCATTGAGTAGTGCTGATCAAAAAGGTCAAGAAATGATGTTTGTAAGCAGTATCATAGCTCATTAGGGCAGTTTTACAGACAAAATCATAACTGAAATGAGTCTTGGATTTACCAATATGATCCAGAGACCAAGTGCAATCAAAGCATGGTTCCTGAGAGGATCTGTTGAGACAGTTAAATTCAAGGCAGAGAGATTTGCTCAGATGGATATGATGGCTAATTTTTGGGACCCCCCAAAGGATAATCTTGATAGAATTTCTTGGGGGACACAGGACAATCACAAAGGCATATTGTGAAGTTTTAAGAAATTAAAAAATTGTGCATTGGTGAGAAAAAGGCCTGGAAAGATAAACTTAAATTTAAAAATATTTTCATTATGACAATTCACCTCCTCATTCTGTGAAGGTAGCAAAAGACTCGTCTATGAAAATTTCATTGGGACACTATTCCATCCACATTACATCCTGATCTTAACCATTCAGACTTCTTTTTGTTTATCAAACTTAAGAGAATATTGAAAAACAACATGATTTGTGTCCTCCAAGATGCCAAAATTGCCCTTTAGGCTGAATTCTTTAAGGAAAGGTTAAAGAGTTAGAAACACTGACTTCAGAAGTATATAGACCTAGGAAGGTCTGGTTGGTCTGAAGTGTGGTGACCTGGGGACTCCTGAGCCATGGACAAGGACATAGCCACAGAGGACTGGAACTGAGAGTGAAGTGTTCACTAGGAAGTGAAGGGAGATGCACAAGAGTGTCAGCTGATACGAAGTAAGGAGAGAGGCACAAGAACGCCAAAACTTGCAGATATACCCATTCAACCTAGCTTCAATGGCTTTTGATAATCAGAACTTGACTAGAGAAAGAGAAAAAAACAGTTTTGGGTAAAGGAAACAAGTGTAAATTGCTACAATTTGATGAACTTGACCTATACTTATAGATGTGGTAGCTCAACATACCAACTGAGAGGGAAGGAGTCTTCACATCAAATATCAATCCTTTCCCTCTGTATACAGGGTAGATTGTTGTTGATGTTAGGTGCCATCAAGTCAGTACTGACTCATAGTGACCCTATGCACAACAGACTGAAACACTGCCTGGTCGGGCCAACATCATTGTTGTTGCCAAGCTTGACCCAATTGATACTGCCACTTTGCCAATCCATCTCGCTGGGGGTCTTCCCCTTTTTGTCTGACACTCCACCTTACCAAACATAATATCCTTCTCCAACGACTGGTCCCTTCTGATAGTATCTCCAAAGTATGAGAGATGAAGTCTGGCCATCCTGGCCTCCAAGGAACACTCTGGCTGCACTTCTTCCAACACAGATCTGTTGGTTCTTTTGTCAGCCCATATTCTCCTCCAGCACCATAACTCAAAAGCATCAATTCTTGTACAGTCTTCCTTATTCACTGCCCAGCTTTCTCATGCATATGAGGTTATTGAAAATACCATGGTTTAGGTTAGGCACATCTTAGTCCTCAAGCTGACATCTTTGCTCTTCAACACTTTAAAAAGGTCTTGTGCAGCAGATTTGCCTAATGCATACATCGTTTGATTTCTTGACTGCTGCTTCAATGAGTGTTGATGATTGATCCAAGAAGAGTGAAGTCTTGACAACGTCAATCTTTTCTCTGTTGATAAGAATGTTGTTTATTGGTCCATTGATGAGAATTTTTGTTTTCTTTACACTGAGATGCAATCCATACCGAAGGCTGTGCTCTTTGATCTTCATTAGTAAATTTTTAAACTCCTCTTCACTTTCAGCAAGCAAGGTTGTATCATCTGCATATTGGAGGTTGTTAATGAGTCTTCCGCCTATCCTGGTGCCACATTTTTCTTCATAAAACACAACTTCTCAGATTATTTGCTTAGCACACAGGTTGAATTGTTGTTGTTAGGTGCCATCGAGTCAGTACCGACTCATGGCAACCATATGCACAGCAGAACAAAATACTGCCTGATCCTGGGCCAACCTCACTACTGTTGCCACGTTTGAGTCCATTGATGCAGCCACTTGGCTAATCCATCTTGCTGGGGTGGGGGTCTTCTCTTTTTCTCTGACCCTCCACCTTACTAAATATGATACCTTTCTTCAGCGACTGGTCCCTCCTGACCATATGTCCGAAGTATGAAAGACGAAGTTTGGCCATCTTGGCCTCCAGGGAGCACTCTGGGTGTACTTCTTCCAACATAGATCTGTTGGTTCTGTGGGCAGCCCGTGGCACTTTCAGTATTCTCCTCTAACGCCATAACTCAGAAGTGTCAATTCTTCTACGGTCTTCCTTATTTACTGTCCCGGAAAATATGTTGAGAAACACTAGCTTCACATTTTACCATTTTTATTTAATAAAGATTGCTGTGATTTTGTATCATATTCTTTTACTTAACCTGAGGAGCCCCACAGATAAGGGTAATTAGTATTTAATATTTTAAATACCTACATACACAGTTTTAAACGTAAACTATTATACGAGAAGTGTATGGTTAAAATAAAATGAAAAGCTTCATCTCTGGTTCTATTCTTCCATTATTAGAAATAATCTTTCTCAGATAGAGATGACTCAGAAGAAATTAGTTGAGAATATAGTTTTATTTCATTACACATTTCTTTTTTACCTATTCATATAGGAAGCAATGAAACTTCAACAAGATATGAGGAAAAAGAGGCAAGAAGTGTTGGAGAAACAAATAGAATGCCAAAAGGTAAGATAAAATCTTATGATTTGGATGCTGGGATTGATACATAAAATGGGTTTTATAAAGATATCCTTAACGTAAATCTTTTTAGTGTTATTGTCCTAGTGTGGTATTGTGGTATAATGCACTGGATTACAAGGTCAGTTTGAACTGCAGGGGTTGGTGATTCCAATTCACCAGCTGCTTCTTGGAAACTCTATATGGGATCTATCTCTATTAGTCGGAACCAACTCTATGAAATATTAAAATACACTAACCATAGTTTTTATCTTTCCTGTAAATTTTATAGATGTTAATATCTAAACTAGAAAAAAATAAAAACATGAAACCAGAAGAAAGAGCAAATATAATGAAGACTTTAAAAGAGCTTGGAGAAAAGATCTCACAATTGAAAGATGAATTAAAAACATCTTCTGCAGTCTCCACACCATCCAAAGTGAAAACAAAGACAGAGGTATTTATCTACCTTTTTCATTTGCATTGAATTATTGAGCAAGTGCTATGTGCTAGGCACTGTGAAAGTGTATTAGAATAATGTAGTTGGGAAATAGACAAACAACTGTAATTTTTAAAAAAGTGTTTCTTTTGATATATTATCTCTGAGATGAGGTAATAATAACCCTTTTTGATTAAAGATTTGTTTTTAGTTGAACTTTTTAGTTGTTTATGCTGAATGTGAAACTGCTAGAAGTAATATAAAAAAAAACCCTGTTTTTATAAAAATGGCACCAACCTCCCATAGCACTCTTGTATTGAGCTGTATTCAATAATTCATTGCAGTGGGCACATAGAATCCAGGCACCATACTCACAGTGTCTTAGGGAAGTTAACAATTACAATGTAGCATCAGAAAATGTTCAGGTCTTTGTTAAGGACAGCTTCTCCTCTACCCATAGACAGGCTCTCTCTGGCGCTTAACCCCTGGTCTAGCCTATGGCCTGCTCAGGCTGTGTTTTCAGTGTCCTTTTAGTAATGCGAAAGGGTTCTTCATTCTACTGCATAACCTCAGCCAGAGGGCACTCAGCTTCAGTTCGATGGGTCAGGAAACATAGCTCTCCCAATGAAGTATCTGGAGGCATCCAACTCCAAAAAGTGATGTTCCTGCCCAGAATCACTCAGTGACTTTTACTTGCTACATAACCTTGATGGCACTTAACAACACAACAGTGGGCCAGGGATTCCACTGCCCTGTCTCATGGTCCTCTGCTCCTTATCCAGCATCACTGCAGCTTTCTGTCATTGTTTCAAGGAGGTTCATTGTGTTAGGTACCTCACAGTCCAAAAGATGCACTGTACTTCTGGGTCCTCTTCTTTTATGGTATCGAGATACCCCATTCTGCTTCTGAGATGACTCATTTTATACCGAGCAGAATGGCAAAATTTGACCAGTCACAATTATCCCTTTTAATAGTCACTCAAAATTGAATCTAGTAATCCAACATGTTCCTCCACTTTTTCTTACCCACATCCATCAGGAAAAAAGTTGTTTGGTGGGAGTCACGATGACTGGAGATAAATGAGAGGTTTCCTTTTTCAGTAACGTTTTTCTAATGCTGTAATAATGTTATAGTAAAAACTTCCCTTTAGTAGTCAAAAGGCACTGAGTTTAATTTGGGTAAAAATTATTAAAAATAATAATCAGAAGTTGCAGATCCATGTAATTCTGATATGATTGATTTTCAGCTTTTCTGTGTCCTTTTTCTAGCTTTACATAGTGGTTTCATTTTATCATTGCTCTAGAGTGAGAAAAAAAGTTGGTTTCCAGACTTTAGAGAGCTGGGATAAATTTTACAAATACACAATGCAAATTATGCACTATAGTTCATTACATTTGAATTTAGTATAGGAATGCAAAGTGTTTCAAGATTGTTTCTTTAAAATATATTTAATATATTATTTTTATTGAAACTTTCCTCAATTGTAGAAAGAACAAGTGCGCATTTAGACATTAAAGCATACATGAAAGAAAAACATTACTCTGCCATCTAAAGACTGATAATTTTCTTTAGACAAAAGAGTGACAATTGCAGGGTAAATCAGAAAGTAATTGTGTAACTATTATCCTTGAACTATTATTGAATTTTTACTGTGTTATTTTATTTTCCCCCATTGAGCTATATTGATGATGCTTTAGTCTTGGTGTGGCACTGTGGGTTAATGTGCTAGACTGCTGAGTCTCTTTGAACCACAAAGTCGGTGGTTCAAGCTCACCAACCTCTCCTTGGAAACCCTATCAGGGTCTCTGTGGGTTGGAACTGACTTGCTGGTACTTGACATCAGCAACAACAGTCATTATGTGAAATTATTCTCAGCTCTCTCATCTAAATTATAGACCGTTTTATGCAGTGCTTTCACTTTTTAAAAAATCTTTTTATTATTTTCCACTGGTTTAATTTTACTGTCTGCACATTTGCAGTACTACAGTTTTAAGGTTACTTCCTTAAAACACCTATTCTATCACTTGTGCTTTCCTAAGAGATGTGTATGATCCTGAGTAAGATCTTGGAAGGTCTTTACAAAACAGACATTTAATCTTCATATTTCAAAGGCCCAGAAAGAACTATTAGATACTGAACTGGACCTCCACAAGAGGTTGTCCTCAGGAGAAGACACAACCGAGTTACGGAAAAAACTCAATCAGTTACAACTGGAGGTGAGATTTAAGGAGTTACTGACACTCCTCATTTCAATAAATTAAACACTTCGATAGTCCTTTGATTTTCAGTGTTTAACTTATGTTAAGTATACCTTTTGTTGTTATTTAGGCTGCACGATTAGGTATTTTACCTGTGGGTCGAGGAAAGACAATGTCCTCTCAAGGTCGAGGAAGAGGCCGTGGCCGTGGAGGAAGAGGAAGGGGTTCACTAAATCACATGGTGGTGGACCACCGCCCCAAAACACTAGCAGTTGGGGCATTCATTGAGGAGGAAAAAGATGAATTACTTCAGCATTTCTCAGTAAGTTTTTCAAAGTAACAAATGCTAACTCTAAAAACACTGTATTCAGCATTTCTTAGCTGCATTTTGTATAAATGTGTCAAATGTTTTATAGATTAGTAAACTTAGTTGTAAAAATATGGATATTAGCAAGTTCTTACTAATATATTTGAAGGTCACGAAGCAATTCTTGCTTTGTAATTCCATAATACTGCACATAAAAGCATTTGTAGTGACAAGTTGTTTCAAAGCTACATTTGATTTTTGTTTAAGGATTATTACAGAGCTTACCAAGTATTTGTAGTGCTATAAGTGAAAATAATCTAGGATGGAGGCAGAACTCAAAGTAGAGATTTATTTGGATAACAACATGTTTAGTTAGTCAGTATAAAGTGGTGACCATTTGCTTTAGACAAATATGTAGAAATCTTCTATAGACCAATGTCTTTATTATTTTATGCATTTTATTAAGTGTAGACTTTGGCCACCACTATATCACTGGTACATGCTAAAGGAACACTGCTGGTTTGTTGGTTAAATGTTGGGCTGCTAACCGATAGGTCAGTGGTTCAAACTCATCAGCCACTCAGCTGAAGAAAGATGTGGCAGTCCGCTTGCGTAAAGATTGACAGCCTCGGAAAGAAACCCTTTATGGTCGCTGTGAATCAGAATTGACTTGAGAGCAGTGAGTTTGTTTTAGGTTTGGAATATGTTGTCAAATATTTAAACTTTACAAAAAACTTGTAGAATGTGGTTGTTTATAATACGTAATTAACAATTTTATATATTGTAGGCATCAAACTCCTCATTATACTAAGTTTTTGTTCAGAAAAGTTTTATTTTTTTTAATTAAGAATCTTCGTTTTTATTTTATTTCATAGATATCTGTGGTTATTAAAGTTCCTCAGGAAGAATTTCCTTTTAAGTATTTTAACATTAAAGTTTAGATCATGAGCTAAAAATGTTAATTAAGTAAGGCATAGAACCTTGCTTAAGGGAACAGACTGGACAAGATTAAGGGTACATTCCTTTGTCCTTGGCTAAGGAGAAGTTTGGCTAGTTTTTTCCTTTGTTTTGGTTTTCAACTTTTTATTGTGAATTGGGTACAGGTTTACAGAGTAGATTATCAGTTTTACATTCAACATTGATACACATTTTGTTTCATCTCACTGATTGCAGTCCTTTTGATGTACTTATTCCACTTCCTCCCTGTGATTCTTGTTTCCATTTCTCCTTCTTTTATAACCCTTCTGAATTTTGCTTGGTTAAATGTTGCCCTTTTGACCTCCACTGGTTATGGTAAAGTGTACTTCACTAGTGTTACTGTTTTCTGTGTAGACCTATCTATTGTTTTGCTGAAAGTTGAGATTCAAGGATGAGTTAATTTCACGACCTACAGCGTGACTAAGGCTTGGTCTCTTTTATGAGTTTGAGTTTTTCCCACTGTCTGTGATCCCTTTCAAATCAGCTGGTTTAGTGGTAGCCTGACATCATCTAGTTCTTCTCGTCTCAGTGCTGTAGAGACTGATGTTCACATGGTCCATCAGTCCATTGGACTAATTGTTTCCATGCATCTTTGAATTTCATCACTCTTCTTTCTCTGAATAGGGTGAAACCAGTAATTGCACCGTATGCTTTTAAGACCCTATTCGCTATTCACCAAAGTAGGATGTTGAACATTGTCTTTGTGGAATATATTATGCCAGTTGACCATGATGTCCCCTAAGACTGTGGTCCCTCAAGGTGTTTAGTTATGTCTAAGGTATTTTCATATATTTGCCCTCTATGTGCTTTACAAAATTCATGGCTGTATTTTTAGGAAAAGTTCCAGTATCCTCTGTTAAAGCTCTACATATTTATAGGCATACTCTGACTCTCCATCCATTCACTCTGCATGTCTACCCATGCATCTACCCACTGTAGGACTGTATATGCAGTATTTACCCATGCTGCCTGAAACTCTTGCACTCCTCCCTGTGTTGTCTTCCCCAGCTTCCATCATGTTTTACCCACTTTCCTCTTTAATTCTCCTTCACTTGTTAATTAGTGTATAGTTTTTTTTTGTTTTTTTTTAAATGTTTTATTGTGACTTACGTGATCGTTTACATGGGAGAACGTTAGTTTTACGTTCATCCTATTGTATATATCAGTTACAACCACTGCCATACATCATCAACCAACCAAAGGGTGTATACGACAAGCCTGCCCCCCAGTCGTCAGCACACAGTCCCTCTTTCTCTCTGGGTCTAAAGTCGCCAGCTGCTCCATCTCTCCACGTCATCATCTCTGCCTCCATCTCAGGCATCACTGCTTCTCTGGATAGGGTCCTGCTCTCTGCTCTTCTCCCTTGATGGTCCCAGGAACCTCCGCTCCCAGGCTGAAGCATTAATCACTCCCCTCCTTGCTACAAAACGTCTACCTTTACATTTCCAACCCTCACAATCACTCCTGATAACAATTATTCACTATTGTGTCACAAGAGACCCATCTGCATTTCATTTCATCAGTCCCGCCTAGACAGATTGTATACTACTCAGTGGAGAGTCTACCTTCCTTCACGCCCTCTGAATCTAGGTTCCCTCTTGAAAGCTTGTAAGCCCGTCACTTCTTGCCTTTGTAGCACCCCACCCGCACCCCCCCATTTTGGGTAGCCAATGTCCATGTTGCCCATCCCTGTCTACTCTGTGTATGGAGGGGGTGGGAGTGATTCTTGCTGTAAGGATTTGTTCCCTCTTTTGAGCTACTGTATCCTTAGGTGTAGGTCAAGTTCATCAAATTGTATCAGATTACTCTTTTTTTCCTCTTCTTTCTTCCTCTGGTTGAGCTCTGATCATCCAGTCATTGAAGCCAGGTCAAGTGGTATTATCTGCAAGTGTGGGTGTTCTTGTGCATATGCCCTCTCTTCTTATCAGCTGGATGCTTCACTCTCCACTCTGTGGCTATTTCACTGACTCTGGGCCCAAGAGTCCCCAGGTCTTGCCACACTGCTGGCCAACCAGGTCTCCACCCGGGTTCACAGGAGTCTCTTGAACATTGTAGGGCTTAGCTCATCGCTTCATTGCTGTTTTTCCCTCACTTCCCCTAATTGGTGACGAGCTTGGTCACCAATCAGAGCATGTATTCCCATTGAGTCTTAGTCTTCGAAGGGGGTTTACACTGAGGGGACCCGACCACTTGCCTTGATGTCTCCTGGGCTAGCGATGTGTCTAGTTTTAATGGAGAAAATTATTTACCCTGAATGTTTGCAATAGTTGGACTGTACTTTGGTATTTTCCAAGTAGTACCACATAGGGAGTATCAGTTAATTAAATGTGCAGTGGCTCTTTAGGATAAGCACTGAACTGCTAACTACAAGGTTGACGATTTAAGCCCACTAGCCGCTTTCCAGGAGAAAGATGAAACTATCTGCTCTCATAAAGATTTACAGCCTTGGAAAACCTACACAGGATTGCTGTGATTCAGAATCTATTGGACAGCATTTAACAACAATAATATGCATCAGCTTTAACTAGTAAGACGTTTGAATTCTACATTTGATACATGGTTGAACTTGGGATTTTTGTTTTCCTTCCTGATTATGAAGATATGAGGGAGCTTCAAAAGTTTGGGAAAATGCTATTATCTTTTTTTCTTAATGTTCACTTGTACTTTATTGAGTATGCCAAGGCATCCACCTGTATGGATCATAGCAAACTATGGATAATCTTGTGAAGAATGAATATTTTACAACAGTTAATTGTGCTCATGAGGAACCTGTACATACACCAAAAGTCAGTCCTTAGAACAGAACAAGGGGATGTTGAATTTTTTGTTGCTGTTTTTTAAAGCTTTTCAAATTTTATTTAATTTAAAGTTTTATTGTGGATTGAGTGAAAGTTTATAGGGCATATCATCAGTTTTACATTCAACAAATCATCTACCTTGTTTCATTACATTGATTATAATCCCCTCCATGTGTCATCAGTTAACAGTATTTCTCTTTATCCACTTTAGCTTTTTTAAAAAAACACACAAACAAAAAAAAAAACCACTGAGGCATATATAATAATTTACATCTCCAAAGGGCACATTCTGCAAGTCGGCTCCGCGCCACCAGCTCTTAGTCCTCTTCTTAGTCCATGAATCTAGAGTCCTCAGCCGCTCCCCCTCTCCTTGCCCCCATCTCTGCCTCCTTCGCTGGCGCTGCTGCTTCTCTGGATAAGGTCCCGCATTATGCTTGTGCATTACTCTCTTGATGGTCCTAGGGTCCTCTGTTTCTGGACTGTAAGATATACCACTCCCCTTTTTTGTTACGGAACCTCTACCTTTACAATTGTGACACTTGCGATTAGTCATGATAACAATTATTCACTGTTAAATCTTATGAATCTTATCCCCATCTCTTTTCACCAGACCCAACCAGAGAAGATGACAGCCATCCAGTGGGGACTGTTTCTTTCCCCCCATACTCTTAAACTAAACTCCTTCTTGAAACCTTGTTAGCCAGACACTTCGTGCCTTTATTGCCCCCTCATTTTAGGTGGCCAATGTCTAAGTTGCCCATCCCTTATCTACTCTGTGTACAGAGCGGATAGCATTGATATTTGATTTGAAGACTCTTTCCCTCTCTCTGTTGGTATTTAGAGTAACTACCGCTCTGAGTATAGGTCAGGTTCATCATGAAGATGTATCTTCTGTCACTG